AGAGAGAGAGGAAAGACTAGGTCATGCTCCTCATTGGTGGATCCGTTTGGTCAAGATTGTCGTGGTCGAAGGCCGGTGCCCTGAGCAATGCTACTAATGCCGCCCTCGATGACCTTCATCCACTTTCGCCGCGTGTCCGGTGTGTTGGACTGGCTTGGAGCCCGAGAAGTTTGACGGGAGGAGAGGGAAGAGGAGACGGACAGTGTCGTTTCTTCAACCTGTGTAGTAAAGATGGCAAAGTACGCAAGGTTAATTTTGCAGGCTAGGGTGTTCTGTGGAGGACTTTTGCCTCACACATTCTCATCAGCAGGACTGTCCTATCTCGTGTATATTTTCCCCCCATGAGCGACAGTTTTCCTCCTTAAAATTTCGCAGATCGCATTCAAACTTCTATGGTTTGCAAAAAACTGCCCAAAGAGTTTTTTCACTGTCTGCTCTTTTTCCTTGTGTTTCACGTACTGGCTCGTGGCATTTGGCATCACAAATAAGCCGAGGTAGTATTCGCGAAGTAATAATTACACATGTGATTATAGTACTCGAAATACGCGAGTAGTCGTAAAAGTTTACTCTTTTTGACGAACCGATGGCTGTTCACTTATAGAAACGACATCTTTTTGAAAATTTCTGCTGTATTGATGCATTTCTTAGCCACTTTGTTAACGCTATGGAGCTCAAAGGTGTCAGCCTATCTGTCCCTGAACTTAACTGAACAGTAGGCTGAGAGGTATGGTCTGAGACTCACTGATAACGGGGCAGACGTCAATACATCACAAATATTTTAACATTGAAGAACCGAAACCTAATAATTATTCATTTGACTAACTATTGACGCAGTTAGTACTGACTATGCAGACTGAGACACCTTTGTTTCAAGGACAGTTCCTACCCCATTTAGTCCATCATAATTCTGGCCATTTGTTAGAAGCAGAGATATAAACGTGAGGGACACCAATGGGTCGAGTACGGGCCTAGAAGATGGGTAGAACGAGGCACCAAAGTGGAGATTATCATTACTTTACTAGCCCCACCGCCCTATACTAGGGGGTCATAAGCACCCCAGAGCCCGGCAATCTATCAGCTCCTTGGCATCAAGCCTATACAATTTTGCGGGCGATCTGTTAGGTAT